AACGAAACGGATAGAGTTGTTCCTTAATGTGTGATGGTTCCTCTCTGTTTCTGCAACTGAAGAAGAATTTAAGACGGAATTTTGAAAAAATAAAGTCATAGAATTAGAGGTGGGCAGTAGCAAAACAATCTACAAACATGATTTAGAGTTCCAGTTTTTTTAAAATTTGGACAGACTACGGCAGGAGTTTTGTAGTAATGAAAGCTGCTGGCTGATCTGAGAGGTCTTGGTGGAGTGGAGTTTATCAGCATGTTAGTTATATATTTAGGAGCAAGTCCATGTAAAACTTTATAGACCTCGTCTGTAAAGTTCATAGAGCTCGTCTTCAACGTTCCAGTCATTCTACCTATTTAAAGTTGAGCTCATTCAGCAGCTGTTTCCTCTTGTGGTTATGACATTGGCAAAAGGGAACCAGAGGCTTTTAAACTGCCCCCTGTGCTCAGATGATCTCCTATGGGCCCACAAGTACAGTGCAACTGAACTGTCTTTGTTTCTTGAAGACCATCACCTTCTGGGGAATGCTGGAATTTAGCCTCAATGAGGGCAAATACTTGAAAAGACGGTCATTACATTAAAAAACAAATGGGATGACCACGCCCTGATTAAATGGTATGAAAGTTCCTTAGAATGCAGGATTCTCTGAGGAGAACACAGGAAAACATTGTAAGTGGATGAAGGATGGTGTCTAACTCCACCTCCTCTTGGTTGGTGATGGTTTCTCCAGGTTAATGTACTGTAGGAAGGTCTCTTCACTCCACTGTCAAACCATCTTCTCCTCCAGTGATGGGAATAACTGTGTATAAAATGAGCGGTTTTACTAACGGCGTTATTGTTTTCAGTAAGGGATAATCTAACTAATTACTATTTCCATTGTTACAACGCCGTTACCGTTACTGACAATAAAGTGGGGTGCGTCATAAACTAAAGCTGCTCATTGAAGCGGATGTCATTTGAGTTTTAGCTACAAGGGCGCTGTTTCTATTTGTGAGGAGGAGGGATGGATGAGACACCTGCATAATTGATAACGATTGGCTAAGACAGAGTAAGCTTTCAAGGTAGGCCAATCAGAGGCAGTGTTTACACAAAATCAATCACAGCCGGCTCAAACACCTAAACTAGCAGAGGTAAGCAGCCGCACTAGTGAGTCTGGAGGGAAAGTTGGTGTGAGGTGTACATTAGATTTTTTGTTTGTCCATGTCCGTTGTAAGTAACTCTACGTTAATAAAGTTTCTCTTAACAGCACACGCTTCTACAAAACTAGTGGCCAAAAACATCAAACAACTGTTGTTGACACTGTTGATGTTGATAGTGGGCCAGGTGTGGCTAACTTTAGCTCCTCTAGCAAAGAAGGACACGGAGCCACGTTTTTAAGAATATACTTAAAGGGCAGGAAGTCTGCCAGTTGTTGGACTCGTTCTTCTTTTGAGGTCACAGCCAGGCTGTTACAAGGCCATCCCTTTTGTGTCTCTTTATTTTAGGTCCCACAATAATGTTAACATATGAAGCCAACTTACCACACGGCTGATTTTCCATTGTCATGATCAAGGGGTGGGAATTGGGGTTGCGGCAGGGGAATTGTTGGGGTCATCCTTGTACTTACCTTCACGTCGAAGGGGCTGTGGTGAGTGGTTGAGTGGCATGGGGTGTATGACCTTAAGGTTACTTTGTAATTACTTTGTAATTTTTCTTCTCTTACCGTGAGACACATCTTCAGTAGTGGACCTTGGGGTCATCGAGTGTTTTGTAATTAAATAAACTGTAGAATATGCAAATGTTTTGACCCTGGCTGTGCAGTTATTGTATAACACCGGTTATTTTTGGTTTTGTTTGTTTTTTTTCTTCACAGGAGGATGAGGCTGGGAGTGTGAACTATGTGGCACTGAGGTTTCCAGCCAGGAAAATGACTAAAACAAAGGAGAAGAGCAGAAAAGTTCCATCTGAGTGTTTGTACTCTGTCGTAGAGCTTAAAAAATGAACATTTTGCTCTTGAGCAACAGACGCTTGCTGTTGATCAATAAGGAACGTGGCAGAAGGACACAGTAAGATGTGTATGTGCAGATTTAAGCAGTACATTAACATTCAGATTTGTTGTAATGGCAAGGTTCCTAATACCTGACAGCATATTTAGATTCTGTTTTTTTATTTTTTTTTATTTAATTTTTATTAGCAATTACTGACAACAGCTTTGATCCAATTCATCAATGCCATCAAACTGATATTCCACTGAGGGAACAGGTTGAAAAAATATTTGTAGAAATATATATATAGAACAAAATACTGTACTTACAACTAGGGGTGTCAAATTAACACATTAATTGCAATTAATGTATTTTTATACAATATATATAGGCACAATATCAATAAATGGGTCTATTTTCATATATAAGGCGCAGCGGGTTATAAGGTGCATTAAGCGAAACAAAACAGTCAGCGAAATAATTAAGCAGAACAATCAAGCATGTCCGGATGACTCTCGTCATTATCCGAGTCAGTCTCGTTAATGGTTAATTAGTTGTTCAGTGATGATTCCGGCCTTCATGAAACATTTGAGACTGATACATTAGCCCAGTCATCCACGATCCATTAGCAGATAGTGGTGTAACTCGCCCAGCGTTGCCTCCCTGTCTTGGTGAATGCGTGTTTGCCTTCTGTCATCCAGTGCTCACACGCAGTTCGCAACTTTGAACACCCTGTTAACACCAATATTTAGCGGATGGAATTCTTTGGTTAATCCACCCGGAATGATGACAAGCCCTGAATTAGTTTGATTCACTTGGGTTTTGACAATATCGGTGAGATGGGTGTGCATGGAGTCGCAGATCAATAGGGATGGAGATCTGTGAAAAGGGTAGTGACCTAAGTTGGACACTGTTGTTGTTGTTCGCCCCTTCAGAGTCAGGCGGTTGTCACTATTTTGACCTTGGGGAGGACAGAGTGAAGAGAGGTGAGGAGACGTGAAACTGGAGGAGCGTGTGAGAGTTGTCCGTCTAATAAACGGGAAATTTACATTTCAAAAACGTCCACCATCGGCACCATCGATAAAGGTAGCGTGATATGCCTTCATTGTAAGAAGGAATTTGCTTAACACCAAAGCAGCTTAAGTTTAGAATACCGCATCAACGCAATGCACCTAGTTGCGAGTGCAGCCACAGCTAACGTTAGCAGTGAAGACGTTAGCAATTTAGCGAGCCACAGCAAAGCTCTATGCCAAACTAAACTCGAGGAGAACGCCCCGTGTATGAGCAATTCTGTGACCGACAGGCCGGTGAATTTTCTAGCCAAATGGAAAGCGATGAACTGCAGGCCGATAAGTGGAAACCAGGGGTAAAAGAGGTGTTGAGAACCGTGTCCAATAACCCATCATACAAGCCAGCGTGCAGGACTACAGACGAGCAAAATCAGCAAGATGTACGGTGGTGAAAAGAAAAACAAACTTGAGAAAAGAACAGCAATATACCCTCCATGGTTGTCGTAACTAAAGGTTGCAGGCAGCACTTGAGATTAGTCTCAAATACAGTGGAATGTAAATGGCTACGACTGTTCAAGTCTGTTAAAAACAATAAATGACTTTATAACGCCATTTTTGTTATGTATATAAATCTTTGAGCTGCTACAATAATGTAATGAATTTAAATGAAAATACCTAAATTGAGAGCTTTTCTCAGTAATTTTTAGGTGAGATTTAAAAACAGATTCATTAGATCAACCATTTACAGATCATAATTAATTAATCTCTCAATTTTTTTAATCTATTGACAGCACTACTTTCAACTACCAAATCACTTAAAAAAAGATAAAAATATTTGACCTAGTTTTTATTCACTTAGTCAAAGCAGATTTATTCAGTGTTTCACTTGTGCAAATTAACTTGTTATAATCACAAGAATAAATAGACTAAATACAATAATTTTAAATAAAATTAGCCACACTGCTGATAATGAGATTCTCTATACTTTAATTCAACAACAAATTAAAGTCGAATAAAAAGGTACAAAAAAGATATTGACTGCATTATTTTTCCAATTTAAATGCCCTTTTAGCACAAGTGATATAAAGTTTCAGTTATAAAAAGTTGTAAAATCAAAAAACTTAATTTAGGGTATATAAAATATAACAGAATATGTTAAATACAATGTTAAGTACAAATGCAAAACTTTTATATTTAGTCAAGAATTTATTATTGCTTTTATTGTTTATATTTATTTTATTTTATATCTTTTTTGCTGATGAGAACCGGCAGGAACTTGACTCCATGACGATGTAAAACTTTTAACCGCTTCTCAAATCTTTTAAGTTGTCTGTACTGCCTGTGTCGTTTCTCACAGCAGTAAAGACGACAGTTGTCAAAGGCGCAACTTGGTCTCTCTGAAAAACCACGTCCAAGGTGTGAAGACAAACGTCACGGAAACGAAACTCCACACACTCAACTCAGACTTAAGCAAACATAGACTTACATGATTCTGCTGCTCACTGTTGTGGACAATGTCTGTAAAAGAAGAAAACATAAATAGGTAGTGGTCAAAAGAATCTTTAAACGACATTATGGGATGCTGTAAGTGCATGTACTGTATGTGTTTCATACCACTGTTAAAACTATTTTGGTGAAAAGAAGAAAAAAAGAAGAGCCATGGTCGTCATACCAAACCAAAAATTAAAATTGTGCAGCACATCTTGAAAAGGAGAAAGATGTCACCTCTAGTAACTACACTCAAACAAAAGACCGACTGAAAAGTTAGACAAAGGTGGAGTAAATCTCATCTTCCATAAATACACAACAGAACTGGTAAATACTTTGTCTACTTATGCATTACTGCAGGCATCAGCAGCAAATAATGAAGAATCTGTATTTAAGGTGAAATCAAAAGAAACAAATTTAAAAAGATGAAATGTTGACTCAGAAGAAACAGAAAAAAAATCCTTAATTTTCTTTTTATTCTGCTCCAAATGAGGGCAATACAGTCGCCCTGTGACTACAACAGACTGTAACGCCCCTAAAGAGACACAGACACTAGACCAGTGTTAAAACCGCGCCAGTTTTGCTTTGCACGAGGGATGTCCGATAATATCGGCCGACCTCAATCCGGCTTCTCCTAAATCGCCTTTTTCTCCTTTCATTCTTCTTCCTCTTACACACACGCGCTCTCACCACGCCTCCTCACTCCTTCTCCAATACCCTCAACTGTTAACGCCATCATAATGTAGCGCAGCGGTAGAATGAGACGGAGGCAGAAAGCGATTTATTATCTCACCTGGAATCTGCATTGTTGTCGGCCACAGTATTCGCCAAACCGCTTACAGTAGAACTTGACAAACCACGCCAGGCTACTCCAACACAACGAACAGAACACATTGCGCATGTGCGCGACAACATGGTGCGTTCAAGGCACCCAAAAACCGTCAGAAGAAAAAATTATACCAGAACATAAACATTTATTCCTCAACCGTTACAATACCAAATGAACACAGAACACTATCAACGCTAAACGAGCCTCTAGTCACTAGATGGCAGCATTGTAGCTCATTTTATTTATCTATATTAAATAAGAGTATTTCAATTGTGTCCCCTAGGAGGCAGAAAATTATTGAAAAAACCCATGGATCATTTGGTACTGGGCCACAATGGAAGAATTAATCATTTATCTAATTTAAACGGAATCTGGTATCTCCATCTGCGTTGTTCATTTAAAATAAATAAGTAAATAAATAAAAATAATATGTCTTTAGATTCCCATATAAAAATGGTTGTGGACCGCTGTTATGGGACCAGCAGTCCTGGTATAGGGCAAATGAGTTTTGTTAAACTCGCCTCTGCCTGATCTTTTTTTTTGTAAACTTCAAAATTCTTTTGATAAATGATTTAAGTAGCATATGTTTGATAAGTAAAATGCTGAAATATAATGAGAGCTTTTCTGATCTCTCTGATTTTTCATTAGATTTTCTTGTAGTTGCAGGTAATTCTAATGTCAACAGCAGCAGTAATAACCTGTGTTCGAGGTTCAGTGTTCTGGTGTCTCATGTATCTTCTGCCTTTAACCTCATTTCCTGTTGCTCAGTTGTTTCCGTGTAAACAGCTTTAGTAGTTTGGTCAAAGAGATGAAGTCTGCTTGTTACTCTGATGCATGTGGCTTTTTTTTTTCTTCTTTGGTTTGATGCACGTTACTTCATGCTAGTCTCGTTCTTGCGTGTTCTTGCCATTATATATTCTTTATATAATTTTTAATTAATGAATTAATTCTTTATATATAATCGCACTGCCTTCTATTTATGGTGGACAAGGAATCTATTTCTAAGTTTAAGGTTAAGTTATGCAAAGACTGAGTTTATCAGAGTTATTTTCCACATTTTTTTGTTTTGTTTTGTTCTATCAACAAAATAGGATTGTGCTATTTGAAATCTTTGCAAAACACCACTAAACATAACATTGATCCTAGACTGAAGAAGTAAAAAAAAAAAAAAAAAACACTTAAAAAAATACCAGTTCAAGTTACAACAGGAAACAGTAAATTGGTAAATGCAGCAAATTCTCAGCCAATCATCAAAAAGGATTTGAAGACATGTGGACAAAAGCTTCACTTAGAAAGGAAGGCCATTGTAGTGTCACATTCACCACAATGTTCCTCAGAGATCTGACAGTTGTCATTCCTCTCATTTCAGTGTGTAAGGGCAAGGATTTTGTCATTAACAAACTGACTGCTGACTTTTTTTTATTTTGAGGCACCGAAATGCATGAAGATCTTTTTGTTATTTATTTCTTCTTATTTTTATTCCTTTCTTTGTTTTTTGTTAATGTATTTATTTTATTTATTTCGATCCAACTCAGGGAACCTCCATCATTGTGAAACAGAAACCAAAGAACTCTCAGGCAGGATTTATTTACACTCAAGGAAACCGTGAAGATGAGCGTAAGAGCTGTGTCCACACTTTCTGCACACTGATTGGACGCTCCTCAGATGCTGGGACTTCCTACTGCACTGAGGCCATGTGTGGAGAAATACTGTTTGGTGAAGGAACCACAGTGGATGTAAGTATGGCTTTGAGAGTTACTTTTCTGACTTATCTGATATGGCGTGCCCACTTTGATTAATGAAGAGAAACACTGCTTTAATTTCTTTACTGTATTTTTTTTCTTCTTTCTGTTTTCTTTTTATGATATGATTGGAGCTTCATTGTCGCTGTCCTCCAGTTGATGTTATTCCTCTGCATCATTGTTATCGTCATTGTCGATTTTTTAACTAGACTCGAGGTGTGTTTAGGACTCTCACTGTGAAACACTGACACCGCTGGCAAGTCTGGGAAACACACTGTGGTATCACTCACATCTGCAAATGTTTCCAGTGAAAGCTTCTCACGCCCGAGGTAAACGTGCTGTTTTTGTCAGTGGACTCAGTGTCAGTGGTTTGCTGGAGAATGAGAACAACGATCGGTGTTTGTTTTGTTTTCCTGTCTGAAAAGTCTGTCGAATAAGAAGCTAAAACGGCACATGTATTCTTAAAAGAGCGTCCATTTAAACTGATAGACGAATGAAACTACCTCTGGTTTCAATTTTTTCAAACCACCTGACGCCTTGTCTTGTCTATCCTGCAATTTGATTGGCTAGATTGGAGTGATGTCCGGTGTTATTAAGGACTGGGTGTGCCATTATGGTCCAAGTGAAGTCACGAGTCACCGATGTTAAAGTCCAAGTCGCATTGCAGGTCTATTGGGAAAAAACACAGACATGAACTTTTGATGGTAGTTTATTTTTTGACATTCATCTGAAGTATCAATCATCACTCACATGTTGATGTTTTCTTTCTGTTTTAAACCTAGGACTGTAAATATATATATATATATATCTATATATATATATATTTACACACATATGGAAAGAATTAGTGAAGTGTTCCTTGAAAAAGAGGAGAACATAAATGGAAGAAACACAGAGCTGAGTAAACAGAGAAGATTGTTAAAGCTCAGGAACATCAGAGCAGAAGTGTGAAACAGTAGGGCGATACTTGAGATTGACGAACCCGAAGAATGAACAGTAAACTAGCTGTTAAAGTGTGACGAGACTCTACACATGTCGTAAACAAAGCAACCGTGTATAACCTAAACCAATACAGTAGTAGTTACATTATAGTACTATGCTATGATTGTAGTTGTGTTAGTTCTTTCTTAGATGATTATAAAAATAATACGTTGTTGTGGTTCCTTTGTAAAAAAAAAAAAAAAGAGCCGTTTCCTGATATATGGCAGGAAACTGAGTCATTGCTGTGGAGGTTTGTGCAGACGGGAGCTCTCTGAATCAATAATGGACAGTTTTATCTTCAGTTTCCAACATGACAGGATTATTTGGTCGGACCTCGGTTCTCGTCCATGTTTCTAGGCACAGAAGAAGAATTGATTTTTAGAATTTCCTCTGAATCGGCCATTTATATCGTTCCTCTTTTGCACCTGCTGCTATTAGCCGGTTATCCTTACGTGTTTGCTGTTAGCAAACAGTGACAGACATCTAACAACTTCACACCCCACATTAAAATGGGTAGATAGGGTGAATAACATTAGTTTGTTTTGAATAATGTGTGACTAATGGCCTTTGGATTGTCGAACATGCTACGGTTTCGTTGCTACCTCTACTTCCTGTTCAATATGTTTTAATAGTTTGAGGTATGTATGTACAAAGAAGCTCACCGCAACTATCCATAACATTTCAGTACCATTTCAGTCTGACTAACATGTTGACATAAAATCTCACTGTATTATGAAAACTCGAGGAAATGCTCCAACCAAATGTTCTTTTTCCAAAAGGACTCACCCAATACAATCAGTTCTTCAGCATTATAAACACATGACAAGGTAAAATGGTGACATAAACAGGATTCTGCTGATGTAAAAATCATTCACATTTAATACTGAATCTCACACTTTGAGGCACTGAGGCACAGTAAAGTCATGTCTTATTTTTGGCATAGGTTCTTTGTTTGCTTAGGGATTTCTGTTATATTCATTACAGCACCTGCGGGGATTCATCTAAAGGACACTTTACAGTTTGGAGTGGTCAGAAATATGACCAGAGCAATATTTTTGAAAGTAAGTACACCTTGAATCAACCATCAGCATCTGTTTAGTTTTTGACACAGGTGTTCTTTAAGGCATTAGCGGTGAATTCGATGGCTTCATTCCAAACTGAAATTGGTCAAATTAAAACAACAACAACAAAAAAACCACGTCATGTTGAGCAGTTTAAAAATGAAACCAACTTGATATTCTGTAAGGGATCAAAAGTTCAACACTGGTGGAATGACATTACTGCTGGCAGAGCAATACTGCCCTCTACTGGTCACACCTGGCTTCATCCAGCTGTGACACCCTGTTTTATTTGAGACCAAAGCGAAACAGGCACAAACAAAAAAATTGCTTTGTCATTCAAAAATTGTCACATCCTCATTTCTTCTTCTTCTTCTTTTTATGTTTGCTTTTTTAGTTTGCAAATAATAGGGGGCGTTTATGTGTCTGGGGAACAGCCAATGACCATGAATGTAAAAGGATGTAGTCATTTGGACTAAATTAGTTTAGCCTAGCAGGTGTACACTGTGGTTTGCACACTCACATATACATATACATATACATATACATATACATATACATATACATATACATATACATATACATATACATATACATATACATATATCACAATGCTTACTTTATGGTTTGCTTTATCCAAAATGGACCAGAATAAAAAGGACAAAATTAAAAAAAATATTGAAAAACATTAGAGCAAAAAGCTCTATTATTGTTTTTCTTCCAATGTAATATAAAAAATAGCCTCAGGTTATGTAGATGTGTACTCAAGTTGCGTTTTTGAAAAAAAAAACAAAAACGCAAAACAAATGTTCCCCCTGGTGGTTAAACAACTTTTGATCTTGGCTTTACTTGTTTAACCAAAATGACTACATCCATCTCTTGCACATGGTTTTTGGTACAACCAGAGAGCAACATGACAAATCATTTCACTATTCTTTTCTCAATACCATTTGTTTCTTGTTCCTGTTTAAAATTAGTTCAAACTATGACTCAGGCTGAACAACTAAAATCCAGGTTAATGTTCAGGGCATGTCTTACAGATTTGTTATATGTCAAACTTCAGGAGGCCCCACGTGGCTGTCGTGCAACAGCAAACAACAAAATTGCAACAACGACAATAATACAAAGAAAACATAGTTACATTTCCTCCATGGAAAGAGTCTCACATGAGAAAAAAACTCACATGTGAGGATGAAGTCCAGTATATACTGTATAGTGAAGCAGGTTAGCTCGGCACGTACAGTTCTCTATCAGACAAGTGACCACAGCGCCACCTTCTGCTGTGGGTGGAATCAACAGAGCTGGTCTCCCAGTGTCCACGGCCTCCCACGCCTCAGCACTCACATTAACGTCATGCAAATACACTTGAAAATATAAAATTCATTGGGTTAAGGTATATATTTATGTAGATTTATACATACATAGAAATTCATATACTTTTAAGGAATGTTAATCTTGCGGTGTACTTTTTCTTACAAGGTACAAAATAACTTTTTCATACTATGTAACACATGTAAAAACAGCTCATAAGTCCTTTTATCATCTTTCAAAAAAGAAAAAAAAATCATAATAAAAATAAGTTCTATGTTTTTCTTACTCATATCTTACAATATATTTTCTCTCTGTCAAAAACACACGTATGTCCCGTTTTTGTTTTCATTTGTGGTTTTTCTCTTGGCAGCGAATCGGCAGCGGTCGAACTGAATGCTGAAAAAAGGAAAAATCACAGGTTGCTCATCAGTGTGGAAAAGAATCTCAGAACGTCGGCCTCGTTGAGGTGGAATTCACAAAATGGCAGCTGAAGGTGGTGTTTGTGAAAACAGAACAAACAAAAAATAAAATTAACTAACTGCAGACGCTGTTACAACGGGCACTTATTGGAGCAGCCACATTCCAGAGCCGTTTCCATCTCCTCGGAGTACGAGGTTCCGTCGGTGCAGCGGAAAACCACCTTCCTCTTCCTGCTCTTGGTGATGCCGCAGCAAACACCAGGTGGCGCCGCGGCCTGACAGGACCTGGGGCAGTCCATGCGGGGGATCCTGCTTGTGGACGTGCAGGTTCTCATTGGGTGGTGGCGCTTCAGTTGCTCCCTCACCATTTCACCGTGACATGTCAGCTCTGGACATTAATGAGAGGAAAAAAATAAATAAAAAAAAAGTAAGTAAAAAGGCGGGAAAAAAAATCATATGAGAAAGTCTAATGATCAGAATCTGGTCTCCTTCAAACCTGTGTCACAGTTTGCTCCGGTGTAACCTGATTGGCAGACACAGACGGGCTCTCCTGCTTCTGACACTTTGCACTCTCCATGTGTGCAGCGCTGGCCCCTGCAGGCTAGAGGCTCCTGTCGCCGATCGCAATACTGACCCTGATATCCTTCATTACACTGACAACTGTAGGACTGACCCTTCAATACACACACTCCATTGACACATCTGCAGCACGAGAAAGTGAAGAGAGGAGTGCATCATTATTGAGGCCTCAAAAGTCATTCAAATGATACATGAATCTTAAGAAACAGTTTTTTTGGTAGGTATTCTTAATACAATATAAGTGTAAAAACATCAACTTAGAGGTGCTGCTGGTGTCTGCCTACCTGTTGTTCTGACAGGCTGTCGGCGTCGTTGTCTGTTCACACAGTGACCCACTCCGTCCTGGAGGACACTCACATGTGACCCCGGTCTCTCCTCCCTCCCTGCAGACGCCCTGCGCACAAACACTGCAGGCGTGGCAGCCTGCTAGAATACCATCAGCCTGCAGGAGAAAGAGAAGATCATATTTTCATATTACATTTTAAATTATTTTCTTGACGAAAATTCCACTGCACGGTTTTAATCCCAGCCCATTCACAGCTGTTTTGCACCTTGCTGTCCACTCCCTGGGGCCGCCCTCCTGATGCGACTCTGTAGCTCAGATCTTGAAGCTCTCCGTTGATTCTGACGTTGTGGATGCAGCCGTTGAATGCTTGAGGAGGACGTTCGGGTCCTGGACGCAGACCTGTCGCCACCACTTGGGATGAAACTCCTAAGAAGGAAAACCCAAAGAGTAAAAAAAAGGTATTTTGGATGAAAGGTCAACATATTGTAGCATAAAAGCAAAAACAGGAGTGAAGTAAATAAAGGTTTCTCTAAGTCGGCCTTTTGTGTCTCTGATTTTCTACTTCACTTTCACTGCTGTACCAATGTTTTCGTACCACCCCGCTCTCAGACAGTGTCTCATCGTTTTTTCCAAGGAAAAAACTGAACATAGACAATTCTTTTCTCTGTATCTGTGGCTTGGACACACGTCTTATTTGTATGTCATTTTGTTCAGAGGCTCAGGAAAACAAAGGTTAGAATACATGTAAACGATATCAACTTTGATTTTTTTTGTACATTTTTAACGGATATTTTTGACACATTTGGTAAAACATTAATTTATTTTAATATACTAGATTGCAGTTGTCTTTCTTTAGATACTTTTACAGCTGTTTCATTCAAACCAGACATTCCAGTTGTAGTTTTAATTAACTTTTCTCTGTAGTTCCAGGTGTTGTATTGTTTTATTCTGTACCCTAAATACTGTTTTTTAATTTAATTTAATTTTAAGGCTCTGGGAATGATTTGACTTTGTGTCTTTTCCTGTTTTCTTCAAACAAACCTCAGACGTAAATGGAAAATCTGGCTCCAAGGACATTTGCGGTCTGTGCTCCGTTCCTAACAACACAATACACATGATTTAAAACACCACAGAGAATACACATACCTCCAATGTAAAGCTGAGTGTTGTGGTCGACAGACGGCTGGCGTGTCAGCTTGCTCAAGCTCTTGGGGGCGCCGTTGTCCACCACCAGACTGAGGGAACGGTTCTGAATCAACAGCTCGACTGTGTGGAAAAGCCCGTCATTCACCGACTCCACACTGTTACAAAAAGACACAGTAAAAAGGAAGGGTTTTCAGAATGGTTTCTATTATCATAAATTACAGTAAACATTCTCTCCTGATAGATGGAAAAAAAAAACAATTATGATTGAGCAAACTGTAAATGTCAGAGAGAAAACACGGTCCAAATACTTTCAAGTTCAACAGCTTATTTATCTTGTCTTACCAAATGGAAAATAAATGGAAAAAAAAGAGATTGAAATTAGTTTTGAAATGTTATTCTCTGATATAAACCAGATTACATCCTGATTACTGTGTTCTTTGAAAAGATTACACAATGACCTTGATCGGGGTCAAGGGTGTTCAAACCGAATTTAAGGAGAGCCAGGTTTTATAATGAGCTAATTCTTGAGGGCTACAATGTTTTGAGGTGAAGATTTCAGCAATTCTTATGAACAATAAATAAATGTCGGTCAAATAAGAAGAAACTAATAGCTAAACTACATCTACACCCCAATATAAAGTAAACACTTTCAAAAACATCCATTTTATTTTTGAAAATATAAACAAATGTTTAGACAAGTAATCTGTAACCCTTTCATTCCATAACTTTTCTACAGCTACCCTGACCACTAAAACCTATGCCATAAATGTAGAAACAATAATAACAGAGCTAAATGTTAGCCAAAGGTTTAGCTTTAAGCCAAATATATATATATATATATACATATATGTATATATATACACATATATACATATACACACACATATATATATATATACATATATACTGTATATATACTTATACATACATATATATGGGTTAAAGTTAATGACAGATAAACCTAGACCTATTAAAAAAGAATAAGACACATCATAGGGCAAAGTCTGAAGTAGATTAGTGATAACAACATGTTATAAAACTGGCCTGGAAAAAAAAAACACTGCAAAAGAAATGTAAAAAACAATAAAAACTTGACGACCCAGCTGAGACTGTATGCAGTCCAAATGTAAACAATACTTGAAAAAAAGATTATTATTCAAAAAATATTGACTTTCTACTGAAGAGAATGTGACAATAAACTAAAAGATCATGACCCTTTGCACCGTGTCTGACCCTGGAGACCAAATGTGTGTGTTTGTGTATAGGAGTGTGTATCTGAGATTACCCACTAAGTGGTTTTTGCTGGAGGGGGGACAGACAGCTATAGAGACAGTGGTTTGGCTCAGCCAGAAGAGAGAGAGAGAGAGAGAGAGAGTGGGAGGGAGAGGTAGGTGCTGGAGTGGGTGGTAAAATTGTTCACTGACGTTCTCCTTTTGCTGGACCCTTACAAAACAAGCAGAGGGTCAAAAACACAAAAGAGGAAGTAAAGCCACT